ACCGAACAGCTTCAGTCCCAGGCCAGCATGATTGAGACCTGATGTTGCTATTCTAAAATTGTAGAGTAGTGCAAAGTATAGAACTGTCCTTCATGTTTGCTACGAGAGGAGGCGCTAATAATATGGAATCACATGTCATTGTGAAAGCCTTCCAGGACCCTGCGACCGCTTTGAGCAATGGCTCTCCTGTGAACCAGGCAGCACAGAACTGTAATTTGAGCCCTCGTTTTGAGATGTTATGTTTGGCTTCACTTTGCAGGAGATTCAGACACTTCAACCTGGTCCACTGCCAACAAAGCCGGGTCTGAACAGTGCTGAAAGAGCGGAGGCAGATGATTCGAGAAGGGGAGTTTTGTCGAGCTCGGTAGGAGGTCTGCACTTTTCGCATGTTGACATCGAGTAACAGTATGCTTTTGATTTCAGGCCCATCCGCAAGATGGCAGTGGGTACTTGAGCGGCCATGACAATACCGAACAGTTTCACCAGCAGGCAGGCATGATTGTGAGACTATGTGTCTAAGTCCTTCTTCGTGCTTGTTATGAGAGGAGGGGGGGGCCATAACATCACAGAGCATTTTGCACAGCTTCCAGGGTGCTGGATCTTGGGGCGGCAACATCGGAAACATCTATTCTTGGGGCAATCAGGCAGCAAAGCGCGATGCGTTTTTCCCAGTTGATTTGCCTCTGCTCTTTCAGCACTTTGCGGTTGTGGCTTTCCTGCCTTTCAACCAGGCTGAAGCGGCTGAGGCGACAGCGGTGAAGCCAAACTGAATGTTGTTCATAGCCACATTGCACATTCAATTGACAAGCAACCAAAACTGACTCTTCATTGCAAAGCATGCTGTCAGGATGCTAGCTCTTCGCATATTGCTTTCTGTTGGCTTTGTCGCTTTGGATCCAGGACTACCCGCAGGAAGGCAACGAGTATCCAAGCGCCCATGGCAAGACACAACAGCATTACCAGGCGGAACCGCCGCTCCGCCCTTCATGCTTGTCATGAGATGTCATGAGACATGAGAGGAGGGAGCATCGAACATCACATAAGATCATGCAGAACTTGCAGGGTCCTGCATCTCCCTGGAGCAACAGCTGTTCTGCGAATGAGGCAGCACAACTTGGGCATGGCTTGTTGCCCAATGAAAGACCGCGTTGTAGGTGTTGAACGGACTATGACTTGTCAATGGCTTGTGTGAAGTTCCTATGAACAAAAAGATCCATTAAATTGAGATGATTAAGCCTTGTTTGGAGACCTTTTGCTTGGCACTTTGCAGGCACCTCAGCAGCCAAGAAAGGTTCTACCACCGCCCAGAAAGCACCGCCCAGAAAGCGCTGAAAGAGCGGAGGCGGTTGCGGGACGCGTTCTACTCGACGGCACGCGTTGACATCATTGACATCGTGTTCGTTTTGGCATTCTTTGGCTGTGGTTTCCAGGACCTACAAAGTGGAGGGCATTCGAACGGCAACGACATTGTGCAAGGGCAGAGTAGTCAGGCAGGATTGGTGTGTGTTTTGCTGGTGTTTTCTAAGTCTTAGGGCCTAAGGGTTTGAGAAGTCCCTGACAAATTCTAGAAGACCAGCCCCTTTTTTGGAACTGCCTTTTGGCATGAAAACAGGTGAGCACCGCAAGAAACCGCCCAAGATGAACTAAGTAATGGCATGGCCTTGTCATATGGAACTTGGGCGCAAGCAAAACCTGAAAAGCGTAAGGTTGTGCAAGGAAGCTGAGAGACATGCATGTTGCGTAAGCTTTGCATAGGGTCGTATTTGCACTTATGATATTCCTAGCACACACCTCCCCGTCAAGAGAGGAACTTTAAGGAACATGAGAGAGCTTTGAAACCCTCAGGAACTGGCATTTGCGTGCACTATATTTCAGGCATATAAGTAGCAACGGATGAACGTTCCCCACCATCCTTGGCAATGTCGCCAAGTGGACTTCCTAAGAACTTCCTTTATGTAGCTGCTAGTAACAAGTGCATCGCTACTAGGAACAAGTGCCTTACTAGTAGTAACAAGAAGCTATTAGAATCAAATGTGTAATTAGTAAGCCATGTTTCCACCTGCAGTTTCATGAAAATTCCGGCCGCAACGCTCCGTTTGGTGAGAGTTTTGGCGTGTAAGGTTCGCGTAAGCTGCCCGTAAGGTTTGCCTAAGCCAACTTTTCATTTGCCTGTAAGTAGATGCAAGTATCGTTTGCTTAAACCCATGCCAAGAGAAGACGACGAGCTAAGATTGCACCTCCTCCTCATCTTCATGGTCTTCATCATTGGCTTCCTCTGCTCGGGAATCATTTTGATCATGCGCAAGTCACCGGCCATTTGCAAAAGGAACCGTCGCACAAGCATTTCTGTTAGGGGTATGGTTCTCATGTTTGCTCAACGCAGACGCGCAAGATCTTCTTAAGGTCTTCTCAAAATCCGTCGCACGTAAGCTTACATTGTGGTCGAGTAAGAAAAGCGTAAGCAGGAGCGTAGGATAGGTATATTATATATGACATAGGGATTTAATCACATGTATTTTGCCATCAGTTCCACACATTCCTGTTTTCGGGCCTTGAAGCTTGCATGCACAAGTCCAGCACGGATGCCATTTCCCACTTGCAATCCAAAGTAGGAAGCGCCGAGGCAAGCTGCGCTAAATGGACCGACAGCACAAGCAACATGTTCTGCACGGCTTTGGGAATTCTTCATTCATGTTTCGCACGTTTGGTTTCACAACATCCTCATCGTTTTCATCACATTGTCATCTGATTCCCAAGGGTTCAACAGTTACATTGTCAATCATTGTCGTCGTTTTCTCACCTGCATCCATTCAGCAGTTTCGAGAAAATCTCACAGGGTCGAAGATTTTGTGTGGAACGTATACTCTTGTTTTGCTTGAGTGTAGACTCAATCTTTTGCAGCCGCAAAAGTGAAACCCAAGCAGAAGCATGCCTGCGGAGCCGTCCGAAACATGTTTCGTAGCAGAGCATTTTGCTTGTGCTGTTGCTCCATTTAGCGCAGCTTGCCTCGGTGCATGGTACTTTGAGTTGCATGTGGGAGATGAGTGCATCCGTGTAGGACTCGTACACGCAGGCTTGAAGAGCTCAAAAAAGGAATAAAAAAGGAAGTTGTTTGGCGCATGAAACTTGTTCCATCCCACAAGACAATTTTGATGCACATTATCCAATGTGGGTTTTGTGTGAGAAGGAACGTGCATGAGGTTCAACTTGCTGCTCATCAGGTCTAAAACAGGTCACATGCAGAGTTTGAGTTTTGGCCGCAGGATCTCTCGCAGGCGCACGTGCCATCAGAGCTTTGGACGTCCACACAGCTTGGCAAATTAACGTCCTGTGCTCACTTTAGTGTAACGAATGAAGAAATATGTATGATTTCCTGGAGGGCCTGACTGTGATGAGTCATGAGCCTTGCTGAGATAAGTCCAATTTGCTGCCTCATTTGTATTCATTTGTGTTGTTCTTCCGTTGTTTCATGTAGAAATTTTTGACTTGCGGTTTTGGTTGGTTCCGTCAGAACCCTAGTTACGTTGGTTGTGTTTATATAGCTGTTTCCTTTTTTCTCACCTCAGCTTAAAGACAACAGCTTTATTCGTTTGCTTTTATTCGTTTGGTTGCTTCTGTTCCATGTCGCAACGAGCTTTGCAGTCGCTGATGGTAGCGCTGCAAAAGCGGCTGGGGCTGGACCCAAGCTCGACGACTTCAGCTCCGGTTGCTGCTCCTGCTCCTTGGCAGCAGTGAAGTGCCTGCGATTCTCATATTTTGACGCAGATGCAGTGATGAGGCTGCTGCTATGAATTGAGCAGTTGACAAGCTATTCTAGAATATTCTAGATGTCAGAACAAGCTGTTGCCACATACTGTAGTCGAAGAGTTCCTTGTTGTGCACCATTGATGTTTCCAGGGGCCGTCCGCACTGCAGCACGCGCCCATGGCTTCTGTAGAGAAGGCCCTGCCACCAGCGGAACACATTTGAGCAACTGCCAAGACGCCTGATAACCAATGTAGTCCCGAGCAACCGTGAATTTCAGGAATTTGACTAAGGCTAAAACCTGCAAAAGCCACAAGCATATGTCCGCAGTCTTTGGATACGTTCAGCTATGTTGAAACTGTGGCTTGTGCCGGAAAAAGCGATAAGCTTGCTGAATCATGTCCTTCTTAACAGGATGTTTTGGCAGAGGCTCATTGGCATCATTTGGCAGTGATTTCTTCCAATCAATGGTTGCCAGGATGCTGCACTGTGCATCAGGTTTTTTTTGATGTGTTTTGATTGAGTCTAAACTAGACGAGACTGAGGATATTCTAGCTCTTGCAAAGTTGTGTGCTTGTGTTTTAAAATATCGGCAGCATCAAAAACGGAGCTGCTCAAACTCATGTTGCCTCAGATCTCTAGTCATGAGTCATGCCGTGGAAGCTCCTTGACCTTCGCTGAGTCACTCAAAAGACTCTCCAAGACTTCCAAAGAATCTACTGGTAACGAGAAGCTACTAGGTGGAGGCCATCGCTATTAGGTTGGAGGCCATTACTATTAGGAGCAAGGATGCTACTAGGTGGCCCTTTGTTCCTAGTAGCTTCTTCTTCCTAGTAGTAAGGCCAGGAGCCCCTAATAGCTTCTTGTTCCTAGTAGCGATGCCCGTTGCTACTAGTAGCGTCCTTACTCCTAGTAGCGATGCCAGGAGCCCCTAGTAGCTTCTTCTTCCTAGTCGTGGGATTCTCCGGGTCGCCGAACGCCGGTCGCGTTCGATGGGAAATGATTAGATATGTACACTAGGAGACCAGCACTTAGAATATTGAAGCTATGGGATTTATGAATTATTTTTTTGCACTTTCAGAGAGCAGGGTTTTTGACATTTGCAGATAGAATATGGCACGTGCAGATAGAATACTTATTGTACGGAGACGCCATGTGTGAACCTCTGCTCCAGCATGCCCTCAAAGCTGTGTGCGGTGACTACTGTATGTGATGCTGTGCACATACTGTACCACAGTATACTGCAATCCTTCATTCTTTAGGAGGATCAAGTTGACAGGATCACTTGTGGTCTCTTGCATATTCTAACTGTGGCGGCATATTCTTACTGCAATGCTCCCAAATAATTAAAATTTTCATATTCTAACTGCATTATAGTTATTTAAACCGGCCTATTCTAACTGCCTGTCCCTTATAGTAGACGAACATCATCGAACATCCATTGGTTTGTCCATCCATCCATTTGTCTTCATCCTTCCGGTCCGTGTGGACACAGTACCAGATGCCCGTTACAGTAGGTTGTCTCATGTCAAGCCGAATGACCTTGTCTAACATCGTCCCATCACATCAAAGTCACCTCATCCCTAGCCTACGATCATTTATGATCCCTAGCTGCCAATGGTTTGAGGGCACCATGTTCACACCTGACTTGAGCTTGGCTTTGCGATTGGTTCAAACGTTTGGGTGTCATGTTTGTCGACTTGGCTTACTTCACTGTAGGCGTCAGTTGAATCGCAGCAAGTGCCGGTGAATGCTGCAAGCCAGCACACTGCAGGGGAGGCGGGGTCTTGACAAATGCGGCAAGTCATCGTTTGTGATGGAAGTGCCACAGTTTCGCTGAATGCACAATGACCGCGGGCTTTGCAACATAATTTTACTGTCTTTATACTTTATATATATATACTATATCACTTTAGCACTATAATGCAATATAGTTAATAGTATGGAGACAAGTACGGTCGTCGACAGAATTATAAAACAGAATTGAGGAGTATCTGGTGCAGTTAGCGAATTTTCCTTTGGAGGATCGTTTTGCATCACTTGGCGCGGACAAGTTTCCTTTGTTCTATGTTACGAAAGCCAGCCGATAGGCTAGGCTTGAGCTTTTAGAGCGAACGAAGTGAGTTGAGGGGGTGTGGGGGGGGGGAGGCTGCTAAAAGGCACAACTTGAGAGGGTGAACCCGGAGCTTGGTGGGGGAGAGCGCTCCAAAGCGAGGGTTAGAAAAGCAGTGAAAATGGGATCTGGTGATGCGAGTGATGCAATGGACGCCGAGTAGTGCATCATTAGCATCATGAAGGGCTGTGGATGGTATTTGGACAATGTGCATTGAGAACTGGAGTGGAGACAGGGACCCATGTACAGAGCAGACCGCAGCCGCGCGTAGGATACGAGTTCCCAGGACAACCCGTAACTCGCGAAATCCATAGAGAACCGAAAGTGACATGAGTTCAAGCCCATAAGCCCATGAATTTGGATTGAGTTCCGGCGGGGGTGCCTGCGAGGAGGTGCCAAAGTCAAGGCCTTTGAGTGAGAAAGACGCAGAGTTGATAAGAAAGAGAAGAATAAAGAAGGTGGTGTTTGGATCATTAAAAATCCCTTTTAAAGGAAAAAGACCGTGTTGTGGATTGAGCCAGAACATGACTCGCTCAAGTCCAGGCATGTGCATCGATAGGCGCACAAATCCTCACTCCCTTGCTAGCCCAAGCTACTCCTGCTGGACCTCCCCTTCTGCGATCTCCTGCGCCGCGGGATCAAACGTCCGTGTCCCGGCCAAGACGTGCCCGTTCACTCTTCCAAATCAACGAAGGCCGCTTCTTGACGCGCCGCTGTATGCAATGCAAACTTCAAACACTTCAAATGTAACAAACACATAATTGCTTCTTTTCAAACCGCGCGCGGCGACGCTCACTATTGAGAAGGTCTTCCTGCGCGCACGCGGCGCACGCGCGCGCGCATGTGGTATCCCCACCACTCGAACTCAGACGGTATTTCCCCTTCGCTAACGCTGATGTCGCCTTCCAACTTCCATAAGACGCATGCCTTCCTGCGTGTGACAAACACATGCCATTGCCTCGTGAGTGATGATGACCTACACCAACATACAACGTATCGCATGTCTCTTTCACTACTTCTTTCATACCAAACTTATCCCAAAGCCGCCCGGCTTGCTTCTCTGCTCCCTCAGTCACCATTACATACGCCCCCCGCATCCGCGGCACCGCTGCCTCGCAAGCTGCCGACCATGTGTCTTGTGCCGCGACGCCCGCCAGAAAAAGAGACACAAGAGACACACGTCTGGCGGCTGCTGGCATTCGTCCCCCCCTTCTCAGGCTTATTTTGTTGGACGACTTTCTTTTGAACAAAGAGCTTTTAATATAACTAATCCTCTTATTAAAGGCCTTGTCCCTTTCCTCAGAGTGTGTTTTTGTGCATGCTCCAAAGATGGTTATCCACTTCCGTTTCAGCAGATTCCTGGACCGTTTAATTTTACTACATATTCATCGAAAGGTTTTTTTTGCCCTTTTCCTCTTGCCTGTGCAGAACATGTTCCTTTGAGTCTTGTGTGCTTGAATCTTCCTTTTATGTGATTCTCTTTCTCCTGTTCCCTCCAGATGCGCTTTTGTTTTGTTTATCAAAGGAGGATTCAAAGAAAAGGACTAGGAACGGGATATGTACACACAATGAGTAGTGAGCAAACAATTGAGGGAAAAGGACACTTAGGGGGCACTCCTGCAGGACTAGGTAACTATAGAACCAGACAGATCCTTTACATAAGTGTCCTTTTCCTTTGGGCCATCGCTTTGTGTATTTGTAGATTATCCCTGTTCCATAATTACAGCATCCCTGTGCTCCTTCGGGTTGTGCGCCAGTTGTGCTATCCATTGGTGGAAGATGCAGTTGGTGCCTGTTGGTATGTAGGCCAGCCTGGACAAGGGCCTCAACCCTTGAAGGAAAACCAAATTTTAGAACAATCTTGCCTGATTATCATACCTGATGGAGAAAACGGAGGTTGCATTCAGCGCCAAAGCTCTTGTAGGAAACTCAACTTCTTCACATCTAAGCAGGTATTATGCAAATACATGTACAGTATGTACGTATGTATCACTGTATGTGCCCACAGGCTTGCAAGGCACAACCCCTGCTGCGACTGGAGCAAGCGGCGATCGATGGTCAAGTCCAGATTCACAAATCATTCTGTTCAATATTCTTTTTCTTGAGTGACCTGGGGTTCCAGAAGAGTTCAAAAATATCCGGGAATGAATCAATCCGGTCCAACATTTTTTGTCCCCTTCCCCCAAAACAAAACTGGAAAAATCCTGTGCAGTTAAATCCCAGGATAATTTTCCTCCTCCATTCCGTTCTATAATTCTGTCGATGACTGTACTTTGCTACAGTCCAACTAGAAGCTACGCCTGATAGGTCTAAAGCTGGCAGTCGGTGTTCTGCGTCGTTCAATTGTTTCCTTTTTAGGCGTTGATTGAAGAGCAGAACAAGCCCGCCAATGATGCCAGTGGCATCCTTCAAGAAAAGGCTTCTCCTGGCAGACTTTGTGAAAAGACACTTAATCCATGATTGTCGTAAGTGCATCAACCAATCTAGGAAAGAGGGTTTGCTGTTGAGTTTTCATCGTTGCTTTATAACAGTGCCCTTCAATAATACTCTGATGTACTCTCACTGCCCTCCCAAAAATGTCAAGCCGCATGACCTTGTCTAGTATCGTCCCATCACATCAATGTCACCGCATCCCTAGCCCTACGATCCCTAGCTCCCGATGGAGCTTTTTATTGTTTGCGACTCTGATGATTCATTCTACAGATTGTCATGCATGTCATGTTTGTCAGCGGTGTTTGCTTCACCGTAGGTACGCCCGGTTGAACCGCAGCGATGGCTGGCGCATGCTGTAAGCGGACACGCTGCAGGGGAGGCGGGGTCTTGACGAATGCTGCAAGTCGTCCTTTGTGAATGAAGTGCCGCCATGTTCACACCTGACTCTTGAGTTTTCTTGCGACTCTGATGATTCATTCTACAGATTGTCATGCATGTCATGTTTGTCGGCTGTGTTTGCTTCACTGTAGGTACGCGCGGCTGAACCGCAGCGAGTGGTGGCGAATGCTGCAAGCCGACACACTGCAGAGGAGGAGGGGTCTTGACGAATGCTGCAAGTCGTCCTTTGTGAATGAAGTGCCACCATGTTCACACCTGACTCTTGAGTTTTCTTGCGACTCTGATGATTCATTCTACAGATTGTCATGCATGTCATGTTTGTCGGCTGTGTTTGCTTCACTGTAGGTACGCCCGGTTGAACCGCAGCAAGCGCTGGCGCATGCTGTAAGCGGACACGCTGCAGGGGAGGCGGGGTCTTGGGAAGTGCGGTGGGTTCCCACAGTTTCGCTGAGCACACAATGATCGTAAGCTTGGCAGGATAGTATATCATTAGCTATCAGATCATTACAGTATTTGTTACCTTGGCATTGCTACAGTCCCCTAGACGCTTCGCCTGATTGGTTTAAAGCTGGCAGTCGGAGTTAGATGTCCTGCGTCGTTCAATTGGTTCTCTTCAGGCGTTGATCGAACCGCAGCACAAGCGGGCAAATAGTGTCAGCGACATCCCTCAAAAGCAGGCCTTTCCTGGCGCACTTTGAGACTTTCTGAAAAGACACTTATAGTTGGGGGTGGTGCCAGAGGTCAAGGTGGGCATCCCAATCAGTGGACCTGACAGTATCTTACATGTTCATTAGATCATTAGTGGCTGGTTTGCCCTTGATTGTGACTGGCTACCACCCTGTATGGCTTCACTGGCTTGATATTTGACATGCTGTGGTTACTCGAGTCAACTTGTATTGCATTCAGACGGACATGTTGTTTGCAGCTGCCTTATATAATTGAGGAAACAGCAAGTTTTGGCTTCATTTATGCTTTCTGTACTTGTACTATATTTTCTTGGCATACACATATACAGCAAGCAGTTGCACTTGGAGACATTCAGAGAATTAGATGCTTTTCATCGTTGGTGATTTGGCGGTCCATTGGCCGTTTAGTTTGGAGACTTACTCCTTGAAACGTGGAAACACCAGAGACGACTCAAGCGGCCAGCAGCCTTATCCATTCAACAACGATATCGTGAAGTATGCAGAGTCGAAGATGTCCTTGAAAGAGGTGCGCCGTTTTTGATTCGGACATGCATAACGTCCTTAGCGGTTTGTCGTCCATCGTATGGATTTGTCTCGTTGGTGTGCAAGACATTTCGAAGAATTGCACCGGGCTGTAACTAAAAAAAGACATACCAAATCAGCTTGGATAGAGCAAGTTGAAGTTGTTTGTTTGCTCGTTCTGGAGCTCATTCTGTCTTGAGTAGATCTGACCGTTCCTTGCGGTTCGTGGACTTTCGGTGTTATTGCTGTCTTCCCTTCGCCATTGGCAAGGATGCCTGAACGTGTCACAGCAAAATGTGAAGCCCGCATACTCAACATTCTGCCCTAGTACTAGGTTCCAAACCGAAGAGCACTTGGAACCTTGAAACAATGAGCGTGTGCTGCCTGTCCCATGTTACCCAATGTATGTCAGGATGCAACTTATTCTATGTCAATTTCTTGGGAGGCCTGAGTGGCCACAGTTCCAAGCGCTATAAAAGTAGTAGCACGGCACAAAGCTACCTCAACTCAGGGCCGATCACAAATTGTTTGGGCGTTTCACTGGCTCGAAACCCAGAAGTTGCACTGGGTGGAGGAAACGAGAGACGCTGAGACGAAGAAGGCTGCTGAGAAGGCGAAGGTCGCGTTGGGCGCCGTTAGCAGCGTCGAATCCGCTGATGGGGTTTGCATTGAAACCATGAAGCCAATCATATTTGCCTTTTTGAGGCCTTTAGGCAGCATTTCTTGTCTATCCGACCCTACATATCAGCATACGACGGAAGGATTTGGTTCAATTATATTATGTTGAATTCCCTTAGTTATTTGCCTTTGTTTGATTTTGTTTGTGCAACTTAGAATCGGAGCTGGAGGACCCGGTAGATCCACTTGAAGCGCGCTTCCAGAGATTATACGAGGCACATTGGGGTTTGGCTGCTTTGGCCTCAAATCCTTTTTTGTTTCGCGATAATGAATCACAATCTCCTGACATTGTCCACGAGTATTCACTAAGAATTATATAAAGAGCTTTGTTTCCTGCGGTTTCGCCCCCTTCAGGGTGGGGAACTTCATCAGGATGAGAAACTTCATCAGGATGAGAAACTTCATCAGGATGAGAAGCTTCATCAGGGTGAGAAACTTCATTTTTTGAAAGGGACACTGAAGCAGAAGCAAATCCAGGAGGAAAAGAAGCTGCAGAAGCTGGAGGGGCAGAAGGAAAAGCGGGTGACCAAAGTGTCTAGAAGTCCATCTGTTATAATCAGTACCTCAAACGAGTCCAGCTCAGATGAAAGTGAGTCGAAGCAAAGCAGCAGGCAGCCCAAAGATGGGTCGGAAAGTGAGACTGGATCCGTCGTGGAAGTAAAGCAAGGTGAAAAAGCAAAGAGGACACTGCCAGGGAAGAAGAAAAAACTGCCTTTGCCACTTCAGTCTTCTCAAGGTCAAATTCACGTCTCAAAGCCCTCTTTGCAGGTGCAAAGCAGTGCAACTGCGAAGTCTTCACAGCCATTGCAGCCAACTTCAGAGGAGAAAGGGCAATCGAGCGAGACAAAGTCGACACCGGAGCTAGCTTCGAAAGCAAAAGCTCATGCAGACTCCCCACAAAGATGTGCATCTGCTAAGTTTGCGCAGAAGACATCCAAGCAGCCAACTTCAGAGGAGAAAGGAAAGAGTCACTTGCAGACGAAGTCAGCACCGGAGCCGTCTTCTGAAACAAATGGCGGGGTTCACTCGCCGCGACGAAGTGTACCTGCTAAGTCACAGCAGCCATCACAGCAGCTGGCTTCAGAAGAGAAACGGCAGGCTCACTCGCATGAAAAGAGTGAGACAAAATTGAGGCCGGAGCCAACTTCTGAAGCAAAAGACAAACCTCACTTGCCGCAAAAAGGTGCGCCTGCGAAGTCTGCACAGCAGCTTATTTCGGAAGAGAAACGGCAGGTTCACTCGAATGAAAAGAGCAGTGAGACAAAGTCCTCACACGAGACAACTACAGAAGGGAAGGGCCGTGCTCACTTGCCACAAAGCAATGCACCACAAGCGCCTGTGAAAAAGCAGGTTGACTCAGTCACTTCTGAGGCGAAAGGTCAGATTGAGGAGCCGAAGAGACGATCCAAGTCCAAGATGAAGAAGGCAAACAAGCCAAGGCAGATGAGCTCTGATTCATCCTCCTCTTCTTCTAGCTCAAGGAGCAAAAGGAGAAGTAAGCGGAAGCCTTCAAGAAAGGCGCATGGCCGACGGCGGCAAAGATCTCGCCGACGCAGAAGCCATAGTCGCCATAGTCCTTCGAGTTCTTCAAAGAGTTCTTCAAGTCATTCAAGACGTTCCAGGAGTCGTTCCAGGAGTCGTTCAAAGTCAAGAGGCTCGAGACACCGGGCGAAACGGTCACGTTCCAGAGGTAGAGGGACGCGAAGAAACCCTTCTCCGAGTCCTTCTCCGCTCAAGAGGAGAAAGGTTAACCTTACTCCCAGAGATCATTCTCATTCTCCGAAGCAGAAAGAAGCTTCAGGCAAGAAGAAGAATCAAGACTCAAAAGACTCAAAAAAAGCCAAAGATGCAAAAGACTCAAAGGCATCAAAAGGGGCTCCAGCTCGTTTAAAGGCAAGCAAGGATCCTCCAAAGCCAAAGTCACAAGGAGATGCCTCTGGTCACAAAGGCCACACACGGCGAGATTCTCCATCCGGCTCCTCTGAGAGGGCTTCTCTATCCGAGGAAAAGCGTAACGCTGCAAAGGAGAAAGCCCTAGAAGCTATGGAAATAATAAAAAGGAAGAAGATTGCAGAGAGTGGGCAACAGAGCTCCACGACTAAGAAGAAGACTCAAAATGAGTCAGAAAAGAAAAGTAAGAGGAAGTGATAGACTGGCTGGACAGTCATCAATGTAAAATAGTCTGCCGCCACGTGTACGTGCCGAAACCGGCACGCTGCTCACGATGCGAGGCTACCGGCCTTTGTTTCCGAAAATGCTCCATTTCAGCAGTCAAAAAGTCAAAAGAGGAGTCCCTCCACTCAGATGGTGATTTGAGTGATTTGTACATGGGAAGTGCCAGCAAATTCACACTCCGACTGGCTGAGGTGCATCGCCAAACCTCAGAACAGAGGGAAAATGACCCTTGCGTATGTACTAAAGACATCTAAAGACGCATTTGTTAGCAGGGCTTGGGAACCCTTAGAGCATTGCATTCTTGTGTATACTGGATATTTGTGTAAGCTCAATGACGGCTATTGCAAGGGATGGTGAAGGTGAGAATTCTGACATAGACAACGTACCCTGATGTGAAGCTCACCTACAGCCGCAAGCATTGCCAGGCTCAACTATGTAGTGTAGAGTCCAAAACTCTCAAGCAGCAGTCCAGCAGCTATAGCAGCTTTTGCAACAGAACAGACCATGCTTTCATATCTCAATATACCTCACAAATATGCTTTCCTTGTAAGCAGGGTTGGTTTGCAGATGAGTTGGCGACACCAAACCGTCCGACTCCCTTAAGCACACATTCCGCTCCAGCATATGACCCATATGACCCTCATTGTCCCAGGATTCACAGTTGCGGCTTTACAGAGTGGCATGTTCACACCCTTCCGCTTCAAGCGTTTCCATGCCTAACCTCCCCATGTGCTTTTCCTTTTTTGGTTTTGGTCCAACATGTTTGCATCGTTGTCAAAGGGAATCTGTTGTCAGAAGTCAGAAGTGCGACACATCGCTATCGATTCCGGTCATAGCCGGACCGTCGATTCGCTGACCTGTCCTACACCCGGTTTTTTCACCATGCCGACTCCAAAAGGCCCCGATGCGCCGAGGACTTGGTCGCTGCACCGAAGGTGCAAAATAGCTACTAGTAGCGATGCCCTTGTTCCTAGTAGCTTTTTGTTACTAGTAGTACGGCCAGGAGCCCCTAGTAGCGTCCTTGCTCCTAGTAGCGATGCCCTTTGTTACTAGTGGGTTCCTAGCAAATGCCCTTAGCTACTAGCTTCTTGTTACTAGCGATGCACTTGATCAGGTCCATTTCAGTGGGCTCAGAGGTGCGATTGATTAGCAGCAGGATGCTCAGGACAGAGAGGAAATCAGCTGTGGTACCCGTAGGTGCACACATGTGCACACACCTACGGCGCCTATCCCGTATGGTACCTACTGGTACCTACACCGTACACCTATCATACACCATTATACACCTATCGTATCCTATCGTACTGACAAGGCGATGTCGATCCCATTGGCCTGTCCTTCCTTTTATCCATTGAGGCCTCTCGAAGGCAATGCGGCTTTGCTTGGGCCAGGGAGGTTGGGTTCCGCAAATGGAAGCCACTCTCGGAAAGGCGGGAACAGCTTCTGCTGTTCTGGATTCACACACATGCAGTGCTACGTTACTGGTGGAAGAACATTAAATGACTCTCTTTTTCTCTCTCATTCACAGAAATCGTTTTCCCCCAGATAGCCATAGAATTCGGTGGGATTCATACTCATCCTCATCCCCTTGACTCTCCTTTTTTCTAAATTATGGCGAAAGGAGTTCGAAGGAGCAGGTTGAGGTGGCCCCAGCTCGAGATGTCTAGTAGACCAGCCACTTTTGTATCTTCACTTAAACTCCGCCCAAGAGAGCGAGACACTCTCCACCATCCCTGTCCAGGTGGGTGTTGTAGTGGAAGTGCTTCCATCGGGAAACCTACGAATTCAGTGCGGTGGCTCGTTGTCTCGGTCTCAGACGACGGTGAGACGTTGAGACGAAACGAGGTTGGGTGATGCGGGTAGGTAGGCAAGCCCATAACATCCCATGACACCGGCGCCTTTGGCGCCAGGTGAAAACCCTCCAGAACAATGCCTCTCTTTGGTGGGGGCGGAAAAGGTGGGGGGGGAAGCTCGTCCCTTGTCGGTAGAGGGTACTTTTCTTCATTTTTGGAAGGCGGTCATGTCGTCCATGTGTGCACATTGGCTCGCAGCTTTTTTCCCATGCGACTCTCCATTGACGCCGCGCTGTCTCTTTTGCATGTGATTTTGTGCCTTTGGCTCGTGTCTCTCCTCTGTTTGATCCTGTCTGGTCTCTTTTTCCACTGTTGACGTCTCTGACCTCTTCATTTGCATTCGTTTCCTCGAGATCTTGTTTTGGACTTCACCTTATGCTGCACCTTGGGCCCTAATCGTTAGCCTCTCACTCGGTCTGTTCTAGCTACAAGAGTACAGGTTGCATGCACACAGTGCTTTGTTGCAGTTTGGTGCTCTGTGAAACGCTTCATGCCAAAGCAAGTGAAGAGACAAACCAAAGAGAAAGGTGTTGGCTGTATGAATGCAACGGAACGCCGCGTCTACCAGCCAGACAGAACATGAGAGCAAGAGGCGATGTCACAGGACAAGAGTTGGCGCTGTTGCTGGAAGTGACATGCGGCAGATGGGAAAGGGCACGTGCAAACGACCCATTTTGGGTCACTTCACTTTCGAGTGCCCTCCCCACGGCGCTTCGGAAAGACCTTCATTTGTACCACCGGCGCCTCGAGGCGTCGTACCCTAGTGGGTAGTTGGTTTTGCAGGAAAGCGCAATAAATTGATCAACAAGTAATCCGATACACATACGATTTGAAAAGACATATAAAACCACTGGGAGAGATCGGGCTCAAGTTGATTGAGTCCGCGACATGTTCGAAGTTTGCCGAGTACTGAGGCGGCCTTACATCTACCCACCAGCTCTAATCGCTGAGCACCTGAATGCACAGACAGGGCCGCCGCTCTTTGTGCCACTTGGAGGAATCTCCCGGTGTGTGTCTTCGTAGAGCTGCAAGGCCAAGACAAAGACAGGAGAAGGGATAGGAAATGTAGCTGAAATGAAACTGTGTTTTGTCAAGATGGACGAAACTGTGCGCAATGGAAGAGGTGAGATCCCCAATGCCTGAGTCCCCAGTGCATGGTTGTGTTGGGCTTTGATTATTTTTACCAATTGGGACCCCCATGATATTTCCGAGAAATTTCATGGAAAGAACACATTGTAACCACATCAATTGTGTGTCAACCGTGACTGTCAACCCGTGTACTTTTACTTTGAACACTTTCTTTGCGAGGGTTCCCCAGATTGAAGGATCAGTCGAAGTGGAAGGCCATACATGAGGACGATTTGAACACCCTGAGGCTTGATCTCCATCCACACAGTTTGGTTCGACTGGACACTTCGGGCCAATGTGTGACTTGGCGCCACGAGCAGATGCACAGCAATCACACGATCAGTGCCAGATGGGCGTTGATGAATTGATGGGGATTGATGTGGCCTGCCCACCACATTGAATCTAAACTCCGCTCAAGTGCCTTCTGTTCACATGTGTTTTTCCGCTGCATGTTTTGCCTACCATCGGAACGAAACAGTCAGAAAAAACTCTATCACTATTAGCGTCCCTACTAACCATCATGATTGCACAATATTATCAGACAAACACTTGCTTCTATGGTTGAGCGGAGTTGACCGGCTGTTGCAGGCAGTCTGCCGGCGCTCGTTCGAAGGAAACAAGGTGCTTGTGAGATTCACTTCAGAGAACCTCTCGTTCAGTAGCAGATGGGGGTTGTTCTAAGAAGCCAAGACCTCACTGCTTGTGCAGGTTGAGGAGACGGCTGATGACCAGGAGGTGCCGTTCTCAGGGCAAAAGTTTCACGTCAAAAGTGATCGTAGCATCGTAGCGTATCCTTAGATTTTTTTTGTCACCAGACTTCACTCACTGTTTCAACGATGTGACAATGTTGCTTGGCTTTGTTTCAGCATGTATGAGACTAAGTACTAATTGTATCTATTTGTGGTCTCTATCACTTGTGAGTAATTGTGCGGTCTTTAAGCTGGTCCTCCGGTTCAGGATGATGCCAATGCCGCACCCCAATGTCCATCGAGTTTGATCTTGCGGGACTGGCTGCAATCGGTGAGCTTAAGCATTGTTTGCATCTAGGCCTTGGCAGCGTTTTTGACCGGGCCAAAAGGCTGGGACCGGGACTGGACCCAGAGGAGCAAGCATGCGTCATGTAGCTTTGCGCTTTGGTCAAGTTTGTTGGACGGGTATGTCAACTCGATGGAGCTGTTGTAGTCCCATTGAGTAAATGAGTCGTTGGATGACTTCATAGTGCTGCAAACGCAAAGGATTGTTGGCGGAATGCTTACCGTGCAAAAAGGTCTCTGTCAGGGTCCATTGGCAACCTAGCATGGTAGCCAGAAACGTGTCTCTAATGGTCTCCTCTTCTTTTGAACTCGTATTCTCAAGATTGGTTCGTTCAGTTCCAGGCGAAAAGATTGGTGGCTGGGGTTGCAAAGCGTGCGAGTTCTACCTCTGTGGTGTTTGCAGCCAGTTAGCAGCCTAGACTTCGCTGTTTGGCAAAGGCATGGCAAAGCATGTTCACCTGATGCTAAATTGATCCTTCTTCATTGGGATCACAAGTAGATGGCCCCATGAAGCCTGAGTAAATCAGCCGTCGCGAACTTGGCGTTTGAGGCCATACCAGGTATCGACCCCACAAAAGCGGAGTGAAGATGGCATTGGCCTCAGCATTGAGGAGCACCCGGAAAGAATATGAAGGAAAGCTGCGAAGGAGCATAGTGTTTAGGCTTGCATGCCTCGCATTCAAGAGTGCTTGCTTGTGCATGATGGACAGCCTGGTTCAAAAGGAACAAGCCTGTTGTTCCTCCACCAACCATACAGATTGCACAAATCGTTAAGGTGAAGCACAAGCAGTTGCTGAAGCATCCCTGCGCTTGGGAGCCGCGCCCTCAGCATAGAGTGTCCAAGAGAATTTCAATAGATTATAACAGAAGAGCTGAAATGTTCATCTTGCAACATGAGCGCAGTATATTCCATTTTCGGAGGCCTCCATGTCAGGTTTGAGAAAGTACAAATTGAACT